GTAGACACCTTCCATCTGCCGCAGCCAACAAGAAGAAAAAGAAGACCAGAGGAGAGCACTTCAAACAGCGCTTCCGCAAAACCTTCCAGACGCTGCTGGAGGAAGAGGTGAGCTCGCACGTCCGCCCCCTTTCCAGCCCCCCAGTATGGCGGAAAGTGCTCTCCTGATCAGCTGCAACATCTTTGTTCGCCATTTTTCATCGGCGCTCGCACGTCGAACCCCCCCAAAACCTCCAGGGGGTGACGCGCGTGACTGCTCCCCCCCCGCCCCTCGCCCTTTCTCAGAACTTGAGCGTGAGCACAGAGCCCAACTACCTGACATCGTGCGTGCCCGCGTCGAAGCTGCCTCAGCGCCACTTCTGCGTGGTATGCGGGTTCCCGTCGCCGTACACATGCGTGACGTGCGGCGCTCGCTATTGCTGCATCAAGTGCCTTGGCACCCACCGTGACACCAGGTGACTACCCTGCGCTGCCGTCAGAAGTGAACATGATCGCGAATACGGTGCTTGTGTGGTTTGCCGGGCAGGCTCGGTGGTAGCGCTGAGCTGGTGCCGCTGAGACCCCGAGTTCGAATTCAGAATTCACCCGCCAATGATTAAACTGGGTCCTCAAGTGTAGTGAGTTGAAATCTCAGCCCGATTACCGATGATTATAAAAAAAAAAAACATTAAATTTGGTTTTTCATTTATTTGCCAAAAATTGCAGCCCTGATATTTCAAAACATATATTAGATTGCCATGTGACAAAACATTTGTTGTACAGGACACTTGCAAAAAAGCAATGTCCCTGGTCTGGATGGGAGGTCGTTTAAATGGATACCAGAAGTAGTTCTGCAATATTATCTTGCTTATGTCATTATCTAACAAGGGGGTGATGCACTGCTCTGCCAGAGATCTTAATGGATACGTTGTCTCATGACAGTTCAAGTGGAATTCAAACTGCAAAAAAGACGAAACATTTTTATAAAAATTAATGTGACATTCTTTTGGCACTTTCTGTACCTCACTATTATTATCTGCTGTTTGTACAACTTGGCCTATCTTTTTTTTGTCTTAAATGGCTTTTTGATTAATTGAAAGCATTGGAATATTGTCATTCCTTGAGAATCAAATGCCTGAAATCAGGAGGTGACTGTTCAGGGTAGATATTTGTCCTCGGTGTGGAGCCGCATGTTGACCCCACGGCCATTCTTTGCCCACGCAGGTGTCTGAAGTGGACGGTCTAAAGATGGCAGCCACCAACACGGAGAGTGGCCACTGCAGGCCCGTATGACGGCTGCTGCAGATGCGTGACGTGGACGCTCTACCCCCCCCCCCTCACGAGCCCCTCCACACAATCCCCTGTGCTGATAACAATCCCAGTGTTGGCTACGGGTGCGCCTCCTCTTACCCTTACCCACCGTCACCCGGTCAGTTCTGCACCACGGGTGACTGAAGTAAAGGGGGGCCAGGGATTAATGGAAGGGCTCCCGTCCCGAGAGGAGGCACCGCGAGCCTCTTGGCATGCACGCCTGGGCCCCACGGTGTTTCCTGAGAAGCGCTTCTCTGCATTTCGCTCGTACCAAATATACAGCACCTGTAGCCGATGCGCAACACACAGCATGACGATACTGTAGAATGTAACCGTCGAGAGGAGCCTACGTCTCGTAGGATGCGGTGTCCATAGCTGCATGCACTGGCTGACGGCACAGCGCTGATGTTTGCTAAGCGGCCGTGGCCGCAGCGATCCCGCGCCGTACGTTATCGCCCGATACTTGAAGTAGTCTGCACATCCCCATAGTTGTTCACTTCGCCAGTTGTCCGAGTGTGCGGCGCACGCATTCACTGAGCGAGACGCGGCATGCAAAGGCTGCCCTCGGCAAGCCTGCGTGGTGTGGGGAGGACTTCGGTTGGCCTCCTCCATGCCATCCTTCACCGCAGGGTTTTGTTTGTGCCTGCGGAGTCATTCGTGCCTTTAGGCCGGATTGTGGCGCCGCGCTCTATGCACCGTGAGCTTACGACGGGCGGTGCGATTGAAAATGCCCTTGTGGGGTTGGGTGTTCACGCTCTCTCCCTCCTTGAGTGCGTGCTGAGCAGCACTGTGAGCTCCCAATCCCCCGCTCAAGTCCCCACAGCGATGCCACGACAACACAAAACGCTTCGTCCGTGTGCCTGGCCGGCCGTTATGTGAGCTTATCCATGTAGGTTTTTGTAATCCTGCGTTAAACTTGAAATCTTGCTACACGGAGGGCAGCGCGTACTGTGGTTGTCGCCTTCAGCTGTACTGTTGCATTATGGGCACGTCATTGGTCTGTGAGGAGATGGAGCTGAAATGTGATGTTGAGCAATGAAACTCTTTGAGTTTTATCAATCTTCCAGCTGCTGTTCGTTTCAGGGATGCATATGTAAAGCTGCTTTGCGCTTGGTATAAATATGTATACTCTGTGCCTTACCCGTGGGTTTGCTTACATATAGCGAAGCCTTTGTCCATTCTTTTTCGAATTTAGGCATTTCTGCTAAACACTGACCAATATGTTTTTTGTTTCTTTTAAATGGAAACTCCTGCAATTCCTTTTCTGTAGTTGAAAAAATAAAACTTTCAAAAATATCGCCCGTCTGGAATGTGTTGGCGTACAGCGTGTTGGTACGTAGACCAGGCCCGGGGCCAGCTGCTTGTGGTTGGGTTGCCAAGAGATCCGTCGTGTGGAGGCCACCAGAGCAGTGATTCACCACGAAGGAGAGTGAATGTCGGTGGCCAAAGGGGCATTCGGTGTATTGGCAGTATACACCAGTGCAGCTTAACACACCGCTCCTCATAAAACAGTCTGAATCAATATTTGAACTGACATTCGTCTTTTGACTGCTTCGACATCACAAGAACTGATTTTGAAACGCCACCACCCCCGCAAGGTTTTGAATCGCGGGAAAATAATGATTGCGAAAAAATCCACGCTTTTTTTTATACCGTGCACTGGATTACCGCCAAAACGTTCATTTCGTGGTGCAAGGCTTACCCATGCACCCCTCTAGCGCCGTCCCTGATGCCTGTGCATTTGATTGGTTTATAAATGTTTTATACGTTTGAAACAATTGCCTGCAAATTACAAAATTGGAATCCCCACCCCCCTTCCCCCATTGTTCAAACTTGGCAAGATGCATTGGAAGTTGTGAGTTGGGATTAGCTTTGTCAAATAAAGAATAATCAGAATCACATGGAAGGATGCGGATCAGTGGCACAAACCCCTGAAAGTGGCTTAAAAAAGGCGTTGATTTGTAACCGATTTGAGGGATATTTTTTTAAGGCCATGGACACGTAATGCACGTCGTAACCATCAGCAATGTGCTCGTGTTTCTATTTGGCTTTGGCGTGGCATCAGTCGCAAAGTTCGACAACCAAGAGTGCCGAGTCGAATACTTAGAAGCGCGTCAATATGCATTTAATCCAATAAACGGCACTTCGAGGTTCGAGCGGTGTGGCAGTGATTAAGTCGTACACTACTAAGGCAAGGCCAGTAGGCAAATCAGGCCTACAACGCATGCCCTAGGGGTGCTTAGCAAGTACTTGAAAACTGGCACACTCATTTTAAATATGAAGTCCCCTCTCTTTAGGTCCATGTGTCCTTTTGGTTCAGAGAGGGCCTAGTGGCACAGACCTGTCTTCGAGGTGCCCGCTTCGAGCTTCCAATTTCCCGACAGTGACTCGAATGTTCATGGATCTCGTCGGCTTGTGAAAGTCTCAAAGCCACTGAGCTGCGAGGTGGCAGTACAGCAAGTGGGTTCGTGAACTCGTCTGAACAGTCATTTAGGTGTTACGCGCTTGTGTGCGTTCGGTTATCTCCGCATAATCCGATTTCTTTCGCACGCGCAAAAGATTACTTACAATGGATTTTGCTGAGCATCTCACTGCAGAGAGACGTTCTTTAAAAAAAGACGCGATTCTCGGTGAGAATTTCCCGCACTCATAAATTACATTGCTCTGGAGCATCACCATTCATGGTGCACAGTGCACAAATGATGGCTCTTGCTGTGCTTTATTGCACGCTGTCAATTCATTTTCTCTAATTTTAAGGTGTGAGGAGTCTGTCCCAGTTGTACAGCAGCTGTGATTTAATGGAGTGTGAGACAAAATTATAGGAACACAATTTAGCGCCAAGATAGGAGAATCTGATTATGGAAACATCAAATGAATTCAGCTTATCTCGCTACTGAGTAAATACCGAAATGTTTAACTGAAATTAATAATTGCTCACGTGGCTTGACATCAACGGCGCCCAAATGTGCAGCTTCGTGTGAAGTGCAAAACGGCGTGACATGAGCATCCAGGAGAAGGATGGCGCGCATTTACTTCAAAAATAAAGAGAGAGAAACAGTCGTGGGCAGAGGAGAAGGGTAAGGTCTTGAGCCTGGACTTTTGAACAGGCGCAGGGAGCCGACAGCACAGACGGCGGGACGGATAGGAATTCCATACAACGAGGTTAGAGACGAGTGACCATCGACTGAGCGAATGTTCTTCGACTGGTTCACAGTGATGAGAGTCGAGAGGTTAGTAGAGTGCGTGGATGGGAGTAGAGTGAGATGAATGGGGAGAGGTAGGAGAGTGCGTGGAGAGGGATCGAGTGAGATGAAGGGAGAGAGGGAGGCAGGGGTGAGTGCGTTCATGGAGGGCCTTAAATATTGTTTCCGGCAATACCACGGGCAGTGGATGGATGGGAATGTCACGGTGATGTGTTCACATTTACAGGTGCGGTTGACAAGTCTGTACACGAATTGCTACTCAAGCAAGCGACCTCATTAACTCGTCGCACGCATTTAATCGCTTTCAACCCGCAGTCAGCCAGGGCGAGCTTTCTCCGTGGAAATCGTGCCTTTTTTATTATCATCCATTCCACAATGCACGAAGTGCCAAAAAGGGTAACTCGACACGAGTTCGCCGTAAATGACTTCCGATTGCCGCAACCCACGCAGGGAAAGTCCCCAGGTCTGGTGACGCGTTCCGCAAGAGGGCCCCTTATAAGCCCCGTACGCAGCGGCAAGCAGCAGCAGCAACAAGCAGCAGCAAGCAGCAGCAGAGAACTTTGACATCGAGCACTGCACTCGTGGGTTCTGCTTCAACGAAGGCGGCTGAATACGGTGTTGCCATCGAGGTATTTTTCGCGAGTCTCGATTGCTTCCATTTCAGAAAAAAAAATATTCAGCTGGAATTATGTAGAAATGTCCGCGAAACGCACGAAGCGTCGTCACGTTGTGTTTGTGCTGCGCGCTCGATATTGAAGCGACGAGGGTAACGCGCTGCGGACACGAAGTCGGCGCCGGTTGCGCGGGCACGTGGGCTGCCTGTGATCCAGCCATGTGGAGGCAGTGGCCAAGGGTTGATGGATCACCGCGCAGATGATGTTGTGAAACTCCCTTCCCCCGTGGGTATGCCGTAGCCTGTGAACCGAATTCCACACGTGCGTTTTGTCCCGCTGCTCCGGTTTCCTCGCAAGCGTATGGGCACCAATTGGTTGCTTTAACACGTGGAAGGCTAGCTCACGAAAGAATGTCATCCATAATTGAGGTTTTTTTGGGGGGGTTTGATCGCGTAAATATATAAATGTGTCGTTAAAACCCGCCACCACCCGACACAGCCAACTAGTAAGGGTTGTCACGTAAACAGATGAAGCTAGTTGTAATTACTGGCGAAACGTCATACTCAGATTGTAAATGTTGTGGCTTGGCTCCCCAACACACCGGCGTGCTGTACCAGTGACGAATTGGCCACGTTCTGTTTACGTGACAACCCTTACTAGTTGTCTGTGTCGGGTGGTGGCGGGTTTTAACGACACATTTATATATTTACGCGATCTCACCCAAAAAAAAACTCTATTATGGACTAACTGGTCGAAAGCACCTGCACCTAATGCGCGCGCCTCCGTGAGTCGCGGATCGTGCAGCGATGTGAGATGCAGCTTTGCGCGGATGACACCGCTCTCTAGAAACACTCGTTAATTATTGTCATTAATTATTTCGAATACCTGTGCAACAACACGGCCGAGTTCCATGCGTGTCGTAACTGCGGTTTGCGTCGCGTGAACAGAATGTGGGCACGCCCGCGCACCTGACGTTGACGACTGATCAGAAGGGGCTTTCCAAAGACGAGGGCGAGGCATGGCGCACACACCCCCCCCCCCCACTCGCCCCCCCTTGGATTAACTTCACACTCACTCGACTTTGCATCTTGTCATCTCGCAGGTGTTCCCACTGCTGCAAGGAGATCGGTCCTGAGCGGAAATGTGCGTCTTCAAGCTCCTGCTGGCAGTCTGCATCGTTGGTGCCATCTCTGACCTCTCAGGTGATGACCTCTCTCGTGTAAGCAGCCACGGGTACACGTCGCTGCGCTCGCCCCGGCAGGGCCGATTTCGCAGTGCCAGGCCGAGCGACGCGTCGCTGCTGTTGCTGCTGCTGCTGATTAACCAATGGGGTGGTTCTCGCCAATTAGTATTATTTGTTTTGTTTATGCGTATAACAGCGTCATCCATGCGATTTGAAACCTCAAAACGCTGTAGAACGTATTCTTGGTTCTTTCGGTAAAGTCACGTAGAAGGGAAATAATAAAATAATAACAATTAAACAATACAATTCTCACGACGTTTCGATTGCAACACAAGCAATCATCATCAGGTGTGAAAACCACAGCAATCGAAACGTCGTGAGCATTTTATTGTTTACTTTTTATTATTTCATTATTTCCCTTCTACGCGACTTTACCGAAAGGACCAAGAATATGAATCCCTGCAGTCACGAAAGCTTTAAATCGAAAGCAATAGAACTTGTAACTCGCACAGTTTACACACAGAGGCTGCGGCAAATGACGCACACGGGGTGAGGCAGTCGGAAGCTGTGCCAATTATTGCCCGAGCTCTGTGGTTCTATATTGTAGAACGCGCCCTCAACATGGGTGGAGGAATCAACAAGTAGAGTTCACAGAAAACAGTAATCATGAGAGTAGCGATAGAGGAGTAATAAGGAGTTGACTGACCCCCAGTGAGTGACTGGAGCGAATTGGTGAGTGCTGAATAATCAGTCACCCTAATTCTAGATTTGAAGCTTTCGTGGCTGCAAGGATTCATACTCTTAAGTTTTTTCGGTAAAGTCACGTAGGTAAAAAAAAAAATATTAAAATACATCTATTAAATCATTCATGGAAAATAGTAGTGTTGTGCCTTTTTACACCTGATGAAGGAAGCTTGTGTTGCCTCCGAAACGTCGTGATTTAACTGATTTATTTTCTTTTATTATTATTTTTTTACCTACGTGACTTTACCGAAAGAACCTAAGAGTAATCAGTTACTCTGACTGCGGTTTTTGCATTGGATTCACTCCGGTGCAGCAGTGAGATAGGAACTGGGTTCTCCATCCCATATGTGACAGCAGCAGAACCTAGACTTTGGCCGAATATGTGCTCCGTATCGTGGTGATAATTGGGAGTGTGTGCGCGTGTGCTGCAGTGCTGGGCAGACAGGATGGCAGATGCCAATGCGTCAATACAAGCAGGGCCAGGATTCCCATCAAGAGGATGGCAAAGATGGACGTGTTTAGGAAGTCCCACAGCTGTAACCATTACGAAATCATGTGAGTAATTGCACAAGTACATATCACGTGTCCGTACACGAACACACACGAGCTATCACACCTACAAATGTACTCTCACACACATGCACAGTACACTCAAGATTATCCACGTGAGGTTTATCTGATTTGTGGATTAACAGCGTACCTGGGATTTTGACATTAATAACTCATGGGTTTTCTCTCAAGCCCAAAATAATAATAATCTAAAAACAGTGATACATTGTTATTCTTGTAAATTTTTACTACAAGTCAAGTGCTTAAACCAAACAAATACATATGTTGCTCGAGTTCATCCGAAATCCACGTGGTGGGCTCTACAGTACAGTAGGTGCATCTCTTCACAACAATGGGCGGAGTTTGATTGATGATGATTGGCGTGGCTCTGCTGTCATCCACTTCGTGCGCTGAGTCTTCTGCGCGGGGACAGGAAACCGTTATCACTGAGCATGCGCGTAGATCGTTAATATTCGTTCTAAGTGAGTGTCTTTTTGTATGGACTTTTGTAATAAAACAGGATCAAGACATTCTCGACTACAATTTTTTTTGTTCATTAACAAACTCTATTTTCTTAACTTAAACACAATTTATACTTATAATAGCGGTTTCGGCATAGATGAATGTATATATTTGGATTATCCGAGATTTTGAATTATCTGCGGCCGTTCTCACCGTCATTAGCGCGGATAATCGAGAGTTTACTGTAGTCACGCGTGCTTTGTCAACACGGCAGTGCAATGGGATCTACATATCCACAGCCTGTTGTCAAAGCACATTCAGAGTTTGCAAAACCCATGTCAGGCTTGTTTTCGATTGCATCATTGCCGGGTTCTGTGTCTCGGACTAGAATTCCTGATGGGCATCCTGGGCTGCCTCGTGATCCAGCCCTCTTTAGGATACCCACACAGACAAAAATCTCCCGTATAGCCTTTCACAGGCTGTTGGGGCAAGTAATAGTAGCGAGTAGCACATGTGAAGGCCGGCATGACGAACGTGAGGACAAGATGCTGGTGATGCGGGCATCGCCACGCCCAACTCCCTTTGTCTCCCGAGCGCACCGTTTACATATCGTGCAAGTTATTATTTTAAGGCTGGGTCGACCTAGAGGAGGCCCACGGCTGGTTCCGATATTACCCGTCACTCATCTTAGCCACGGCCTGGAATCGGACTCGGGTCAGTGGGTTCGTGGCTCGACGCACCCACACATTGCGCCACCGCTCCGCCCACGCGCACAGTGCCACTGACAATTGTCTCTGCGTTTTGTCTCAGCGTGACGACGAGATCCGGGATCACCGTGTGCCTGGACCCCACTGCCACGTGGGTGGTGGAACTCGTCAGCTGCACATTGCCGCGGTGAGGGCTCCGTGCCGCGTGCGCTGCTGCCACTGCGCTGCACGCGTTGAGTAATCCGAGCCGCGTTATTTCAGGGAAATCGCCCAGTAGGTGATCAAGATAAAACATGTAACGTGGCCCTGTTCACAAGATTGTTCTGGATTTTATTTCAAAACGCTTGTGGGTAAAACAAAGTATTGGTAACACAAACCTGAAGGACACAAACTAGACACTAAGGTGAAATCGCACGGCACATTCGGAATAAATAAGAATCGGAATGCAGGATTAAACCAAATATGAAATTAGTCATAAATGCAAACAGGGTTTAGATAGACGCTTAAAAGTCAGTTGCACTTCGATGCACTTCGAATCGACGATAATTTAGAATACAAATCGGCTTCACAGGGTGCAAAGGGGATCCAGAGTTAGTCCAATCGAGTAGCCCAACATGCAGAGAGATTGACCATCCACAGCCATTAAAATCTGTAAATGGTGAAAAGAATTCCATCACAACAGAAAATAAAGTACCGTACTGATGAGTCCTAATGGGTATGAAACTGGTATACAGTCGTCTACTTGTCTAGCTGCTACCTCCGTTGGGACGGCCACGTTTTCTCAAATCTTTGAGTCAGTGGTCAGAATGACAACATTGCTGCCCCGAGTTCAGTTCTTTTGAACTGGTGGTCTGGATAAAGGCCGAGAATTTTTGCGCGTCCAATTCTTGCACACCCGGGTGTGTTGTTAAATTCGCACACGGTTGCCAATTCGTAACAAATAAAACTGTTGAAAAAGGCCTCGGGCACAAATTCGGCATATTGCGCAGCACGTGACGTAGGGTGGTGTCCACACGTCCACCCCGCGATGCCCGCACCCCAACGAACTGCCGCGCCCCCCGCTCTCACGTGACGAGCGTCTGACCCGCTCGCCCAATTGTTTTTCAGCAACAACAGAAAACCCGGGCGGCAGCAGCTGAAGACGTGCACGCGGGCCCTGAAGAAGAAGCGGCAGCAACGGAGAGCGGAGAGGCTTCAGCGTGGAAACAAACGACGGACATAGGAGCCTGTCGAGGGGGAGCGGCAAGCGGCCGCTACCGCCGTCCCTGTTCGATGGCTGCAGATGCTGGGCGCCCGTGGGTGAACGAGCACCGCCGGCCGGAGCTGCAGCGGCGCACGTGCTCGCGGCCACGCGGCCGGTCCCGCGTTGGTGGCTGACGTGGCCCCGGCCCGGCCAAGCCTCGTGCACGCGCCGCAGCTCGTCCGCATTTGCAGAGTCTTTTTTTAAGGTCAAATAGCTACAGCTGTGACGGTTATGACACAGCAGAGGATCTATTCTAGAACACCTGAAAACGTGTTGCTAACACCACTCCACTGATAATTATATTTTATTGTATCAGTCGTTAAGCGTTTTTTTTTTACCTTGAAAACTTCCACGAATCTCGAGACACCCTTTTCAGGAGGGTTCTGCCAAAGCTCCCGTGGTACAGCGGGAAGATGTCTCGGTAAATGCGCCGGCGTGGAGACGGCCGCGTTCAGGCAAACGCAGTGTCAGTCTCGGTCACCGTGTGACGGGCAGCCTCCGTGCATTGTCGTAGGCAACTGCGGTGTCTGTCATTGGTATCCTGTGGGTCCCATTGGAGTCGTGAGGGTTCAATGGGATTACTGTGGGACCCATGCGATTCCTGTAGGTCTCATAGTTTATTATGGGTTCCATAGATTATTGTGCCTGATTGTGGCACCTTTAGAATGCCTGCACATGCCAGTTGATACGCATGTGCTTCCCCTGGGCTCTGTAAAGCTAAAGGAAACACGTCTGTGAATTTGACATCGCATCTCATTGGTTGCACCAGCCTCGTGCATGCGTAATCTCTCCACAGCGCCCATTAACTGTGTTTTGCGAGTAACCACTCCTGGGGATATTCCCCGCTCGTTGCCTGTCCATGAACATTTTGTGTGAACTGTATTTGTATCATGACAACTGGATTGTTATATTTAATAATAACGGACTGCTGAATCTGCCCCTGGGTAGTTGTAAATAGACTATTTGGCGAACAGAGAATTGTATTCATGACGCTGATGTGCGGGAAGGAATTCGTTTTGTCCAATGTGTGTGTGTGCTATCTGTTGGCGTTATCCGCGTATCTCTCTGTTACCTGTCTGGCTGGCTGATCTCTCTATTTCCGTATGCGCGTTTGCCAGTCTGTCTTTATCACTCTGCTTGTTAAACTCATTGTTTATACCGAAACCATTTTAATAAAAATAAAATATTAAGTCTTGCCAAAATATTCACGTTGCCTGAGTTTTTCCAGTGCTCCCACACAAGTGGTATCATACAAATGTAGAGAGCCCTTCAGAGACTTTAGGAGGCAACAACGTTAATTCTACACTTTATGCAACACCGTTACACACGGGATTAAATACACATATTCTCACTCCTGTTACGCATAGGACCACAATACACCTACTTATCTTGCATACGGGATAATTATTATCGGGTCAGAGCAGCCAACGTGCTGCCTGACCCACCATGTCGAAGACGGGGACGAAGACGTAGACACAGCACTTGGGTTCCACTTCACCTGCAGACAGCCCGGATCTGTGATCGGGGCTTCCCTTTTATCTCTCGGCGGGGCCTGGCGCCACCCTCGGCCGCGCCCTCCGTCCAGAACATTCCCGACGGTTCCAGGCTACACCGCACCTGTTCCCTCTCTGGCTCCGCCCTTAACCACGCCTCTTCTAGAAACTCTCCAGACGTTCTCGTGCCCCCTCGTTCACCTTTGGCCCAGATCACTCACCCCGGCCCATCACGTGCTTAACCCGGTGCCGGGGTGACTCGTCCTCACATGGCCCCTACCACCAGCCCCCCCCCCCCCACTAAACTCTTCCAGTGGCGCTGCGGCGCTGGTGGAGGCTGCAACCCCCAAAACTCTGTCGGCGGGACTCACCAGGATCCCTCCTGCTCGCACCCAGCACCATGCCCCAAGTTGTCCCCTGAATGGTACTGGACGGTGTGTTAGCCTCTGCGCCTGTTTCAACGGCACTTGTTGTTGGCTTGTACCACATTGCGATTTTTGCACACAGCGTTTTAATACGTTTTTTTGGCAATATCTGCTGGTTTATTCCAGGATGCTTCTGTTACGCGTCGTCGCTTTAAGATGTTCTGTGTTCATATTTTGTTTGTTGCGGTTGCACCCGACTCAAGAGCCGCATGGCTCACAGGGCTATACCTAATAAATTAAACTTGAAACTTGAAAACTTGAAACTTGGTGCTACGCGCCGTAGTGATCTATTTAACATCACTACACAAAAACAAATATCCCCCGTATAGGCTTAACAGACTGTTGGGGCAAGTGCTGTTAGCGAGCACCAATGAAGGCCAACACGGCACACGAGGGGGTGGGTGGACAGCACGACGCCCGGCCACCTTTGTCTCCCGAGTGGTAATGTTTTTACACATCGCACGAGGTATTCAATTGAGGCGGATTCGACCTAGGGGTGGCCCAAGACTGATTCAGATAGTCGTCAAAGGTGTTGGCCGTGAGCGGGAATCGAACGCGGGTCACCAAGTTCGTAGCGCTGCGCACTAACTGCTCCACTACTGCTACCCTCACACCCTCATACAGAACAACGCCACTAAGTAGCGGTGACGTCACCACGGCGCTTGTGCCAGGCTAAGTGCACTTTAAAGCCACGTGAAGTATCGAACACCCGCTGGAAGGTCACGGGACTGGTCCAGGTGCCATGAGTTGACTGACTGAGATGACTGGCAGATGCACCACTTATGCCCCTTACTGTGCGAACTTGCTGTGTTTAATTCGCCCGTCGCTCCTCTGCTCTCCGTTGTTGCTGGAGGGCGACCGTCTCCAGCTGCCCAGGAGCAGCGTCCTTCACGAGCCTCCTCCACAGAGGCCGATCTTGACACCGCTGGTACCAGTCATTGGCAAGTCCACTCAGCTCCATATCCTCTCGTGCCACACACACACACGCGCACACCTTCATACAAAAACATATGCTCACACCCTCTGAGTTCCCATGCTGAATGAGCCGTGAGGTTCCGTGGCCTCAGTCCCTCCACTCTGTCCCCAACCCTGTCCTTCGCTCTACTCTCTAGGTGTGGTGGTGGTCAGGATGAATGTAGATTTTTAAGTTTCGTGTAGGATGTAGGCATGCGTTATTACAATCCAACGTTAATTGTAAAAATAAATTAACGAAACCCATCGAAACAGTTGAATATGTGCAGGATGGAAGCACACAGAAGTTACATCGGGCAAAGGTACGTTGCTCAGAGAGCCGGAAGGCAAGTCTTAGATCCATCCATACGGCTCGTTTGCGTGTCACGTGCCCACATACAAAAGGCTGAGAGCATTGCACACACACTGTGGTTGGCATATATAGCGCGTGACAAATATGATTGAGAGTCATGCATTCTTGCCGTTCGTGAGCACACCTTTGCATCTTATTAATCATGGCATGGGTTATGTTAGAATAATATGTGTTTCACACTGTGCAATTAACGTGCGCTCAGCAGAGAAGTTTAACCTGATAATTTCAAGTTTGCATCTCATTGACCCCGTGAGATCGTGGGGTCGTCAAAAATGCCCCATTGCGGCGGGATGCCCTCTTTTCAGCCGCCTTCCCATAGGGCCTTGCGGGGCATGGCCGAGGGAGGAGGAGGGAGGGAGGGAGCATACACGGGGCTTTGTGTGGTGCGAGCCACATTCATTTGGGGAAAACCCAGCATTCCTTCAGTGGACATCACATTAATAATAGTGTTTAATTATTATTAAAAGCTTATATGTTTTGCCAATTGCGTGTGAATGGGGGAAAAACTGCATCTGGCAAAGGAAATTCCGTTGGAATTCATGACGCATCTCCAGCGCTTCAGGCAGAAATGCGGAGCAGAGTCCGTGGGAGAGTCTTTTCATATAATTTGTTGATGCCTGACATGTTTGAATGGAACGTTATTCTGCTGCCACGTGAAATGCCATATTGGTCGCCGGCGACACGAACATCTCTGCCGCAGAGCCAAGGCTCACGCATTTGAGGACACTTATCTCCAGGTGAGTTCAGCCACCACTGTGGCTTATTTTATTATAAAAAAATTAACACAAATCCACACCGTTAACGCTATCGCCACTAAACTTGGCAGGGTTGCCAGGAAACCTTAGCTACATGGCGAGCCGACATTTTAGAGAGTGGGGGGGACAGAGCCCCCCAAACGGTACCCCACACGCTCCCAGTGACGTCACCATCCCACACCCAGCACATATTAACCTGGCCCTGCACATCTAACAGCCTACACAATGACCCCCTCTTGAAGTTAAGCTAATAATTTGCCGTTGATTACATAATCCAAAAAACCCGTTGGTGATTCCAGTGAACGGTCAACCTCCGTGAGCAGGCGCGTCGTCTTTCCACGGCGTTACAAATAGCACGGTATCATCCACGCTTCCAAAAACAAGATTACCTTCTGTAACTTTTTGGTTCTTTCGGTAAAGTCACGTAGAAAGGAAATTAATTAAATAATAGAACACTGACGCTTCGATTGCAACACAAGCAATCATCATCAGGTACGAATGAATGAGAGAAAAAAACCTAGTGAACTTAGAAATATAATGCAATACAACACAGAGTCGGCTAACACAACAGTCAACACCCCACATGGTTGATGACGTTCTTCCAAAGAGTACTAAATTTGGGAGACAAAACACAGACACGGAGACACATAGACAGACACACCAGCAGAGAGAGACAACACATAGACACAGAGAGAGAGAAAACTCACTTAAATCCTCCCCGTAGAGGTGGTTGAAACTTGATTTGGAGCTTTTGTGACTGCAGGAATTGCTTTTTGGTCCTTTCGGTAAAGTCACGTAGAAAGACAATTAATTAAATAATATTATACGACGTATCGATTGCAACACAAGCAATCGTCATCAGGTACGAAAAAGAGGGTTTTTTTCTCATTCATTTGTACCTGATGATTATGATTGCTTGTGTTGCAATCTACATTTTTAAAAAACATGAACGTTTAAATTACTTTCAATGCTTACACACTGATTTAAATGCATAAGTGTGTGTGTGTGATTGCGTGAGTGAGTGGATGCGTGATTGTTCGGGTGAGAGAGTGCACGAACAGGTTGTCTGCGTAAGTGTGAGAGTTTGTGAGTTCGTGGGTGAGTATGCTAACACACGCGCGGTATTATATGCACAGATGTACGTTTGAAAAAACATTCTAAATATATTAATTTAAGAGATGATACTGCTGATAATCATAATGATTCTACTGCTTAGGCTACTGCTGAAGATATTACTGCTGTTAATTATCAAACTGTTAATGATGATACAATCACGTGCCCCATTGTGGCACGTTGTATTACACTTATACAGGCCCCAATGGCAAGGCAAAATCTTCACAGTTGCTGTAAACGCCACTGACCCCCTCCTTCTGAACACAGCGATTGAGCCACTCCACATTCACAAAAAAGATATCCGCAAGTACCCGGGCAACACCAGGTATTTTACTGTTATCTTCTTCTATATATATAAAAGGGGAATGTAGTGAATATGTGTGTCTGTTTGAAATGTTTAGCATACTTCCCAAAATGCAACTAACTTGAAATTTGCCATGTGGGTAGCTTCCAGACTGTACACAATGCAAAAAGTATAAAAATAGACTTTTGTATTTGGGGGGGGGGGGGGGGGCGCAATAATGGATATATTTTGCACGGCAAGTGAGCGGTGACGTCACATCTGTGATGTCACCCGCATGCGGTAGCGTCACGCAGTGTGCCTGCTGACGTCACCCCCCCCCCCACCCTCTCGGGCAAAGCCAGGTAGTTAAAACGAGTCATTTATAAATGTTGAAGACATTTCCCGTGATAACTGAGAAAGTGTTGTTCTTAGGGCAGCTTGGGGATTGACACTGCGGTGGTTGTGCTTCAAGGATGCACCGTGTGGCCTCATTGCGTGGGCTTCGAGAACACGTGTTTAAGTTCGACCGAGCTCCAAAAAGTAAATTTCGATTTAAAGCTTTCGTGACTGCAGGGATTCATATTATTGGTTCTTTCGGTAAAGTCACGAAGAAGGGAAATAATACAATAATAATAAAAAGTAAAACAATAAAAGAATAAAAAATAAAACAATATAATAATAAAAAAATAAAACAATAAAACAATAAAAATTAAAACAATAAAATTCTCACAACGTTTCGATTGCAACACAAGCTAATCATCATCAGGTGTGAAACCCACAGCAGTGTTTGCCTCAACCACTCGACCGAACTATGTGCACTCTGTGAGGCCACGTTCTCGGTTACCCAGGAGAGGGCTTAACGTTTGGCGGTGAGCCATGCAGTTATTTATTTATAGCCAGCTTTACTAAGAATACTCGCTTGAAAAAGCAGCTTTGTGTTCTGAGATTTCAGTTCCTCTATATCTGGTGGGAGCTGCGGTGGTGCGACAGCAGCACTCGCTGATCCAGAGGTCGCCCATTTGATTTCGTCTTCCAGCGTGTTAGTTGAAACAATAATGTAACTTTCTCAAATCCACCTCCCTACTGCCTCTGTTCACCCAGCAGTATAAATGAGTTCACCACAGGCGATCAGCAGGTTCAAGTTCAAGTTCATTTATTAGGTATAGCCCTGTGAGCCATTCGGCTCTTGAATCGGGTGCAACCGCAACAAACAAAAAACAAAAACATGAACAATAAAACATCTTAAAGTGAAGGTGTCATGTGGCAGCGGGGAGGGGGGTGTAGGTAACTCCCGATCTCTTCCAACACGTGCGGTCAATGTGGAAGAGTAGGCCAAATACCATTCTGAGTTCGGTCGAGTGGAGGCCCTTTTCCAGCAGTGGCTTAGGCGAATCATTTGCAGGGCTTCGGATTCACCGTTTATATTTCGATTTAAAGCTTTCGTGACTGCAGGGATTCATCTTCTTGGTTCTTTCGGTAAAGTCACATAGAAGGGAAATAATAAAATAATAAAAATAAAACATAATAAAATAATTCTCACGACGTTTCGGCCACAACGCAAGCAGCCGTCCTCAGGTGAAGAACAGGTCTGTCGGAAAGACAGCGTCTTCATTTTTTCTTCTATTTTTATTATTTCCCTTCTACGTGACTTTACCGAAAGAACCAAGAAGATTCACCGTTGATGTTGCTGCACTTCCACTTGTTTCTGTTTGAAGTCACAATGACCATTTCGTTGGAAGCAAATGTCGAGTGCTTGAGGCAAACACTGCAACCTTTGAAAGTGCTTGCCCACAATAAAAGGTATCCCAGCAACATTTGTTTAGCAGGCCACGGCTTGCTGATCACTGCCAGAAAAGTCGATACTCGTCCAAGCTTAATTTCATTTTAAAAATGCCATCGGAAAATACTGATCCAAAACGGTCATGGGAAAACTTAATAAAAATGTAAAAAGTATATATATATATTCATGTATTTACTCATTTGCTTTGTTGAACACTGGATACTTGTTTTGGCGCATATCATTGAGGATCAACCCCTTGATCCCACTGAGCCCACTCGCTCGCTTTGTTTTTCAAGGCACAACACCGCTCGCATGGACTTTGGCTTGCTGCCTGCATTGGGAGCAGCGATGGCCCTTTGTGAACGCCTCCAGAGCGGCTCAGCAGGGAGTTTCCGTGGCGTCCAACAAAGGGTGCCCCGCCTTGTATTGCTCCCTGCTAGAGGGGAGCGGTGGTGCCGTGGTCAGCGCGCTGCGCTACAAACCCGGCGGGCCGAGTTTGATTCCCGCTGACGGCCAACACTAGTGGCAATTATTTGAGCCAGTCCTGGGCCTCCCCTAGGTCGACTCAGTCTCAAAAATGAGTACCTAGTGCGGTGTGTAGTAAACATCACCACTGGGGAGACAAATGCGGCCGGACGTGATGCTGGCCCTTCACCCCCTTGTGTGCCATGCCGGCCTTCATAGGTGCTCGCTAACAGCACTTATCAAAATAGTCTGTTGAAGCTACAGGAGGGACCTTTGTCGTTCTTAATAAACATTGTTGCTGAGCGTAGACCGAAACGTAAAGAGGCCAGGAACAACCAGCATTCTCAAAGGTGTGACAGATATGAGTTAATGTTTCTTAAATTAAGCAAAGATATTAGGGGCTTGGGGATAAGCGATAATGGGAGAGCATTCCAAAAGTCGAGCGGTGGAAGGGATAGAAGCCAGAAAGAGAAGTGTTGTGACCTGCAGTGTGGTGAGTGGGTGAGTGTGTTGTTGTGACCTGCAGTGTGGTGAGTGGGTGAGTGTGTTGTTGTGACCTGCAGTGTGGTGAGTGAGTGTGTTGTTGTGACCTGCAGTGTGGTGAGTGGGTGAGTGTGTTGTTGTGACCTGCAGTGTGGTGAGTGGGTGAGTGTGTTGTTGTGACCTGCAGTGTGGTGAGTGAGTGTGTTGTTGTGACCTGCAGTGTGGTGAGTGGGTGAGTGTGTTGTTGTGACCTGCAGTATGGTGAGTGAGTGTGTTGTTGTGACCTGCAGTGTGGTGAGTGGGTGAGTGTGTTGTTGTGACCTGCAGTGTGGTGAGTGGGTGAGTGTGTTGTTGTGACCTGCAGTGTGGTGAGTGGGTGAGTGAGTTGTTGTGACCTGCAGTGTGGTGAGTGGGTGGGTGAGTTGTTGTGACCTGCAGTGTGGTGAGTGGGTGAGTGTGTTGTTGTGACCTGCAGTGTGGTGAGTGGGTGAGTTGTTGTGACCTGCAGTGTGGCGAGTGAGTGAGTGTTGGTGTGACCTGCAGTGTGGTGAGTGGGTGAGTGTGTTGGTGTCACCTGCAGTGTGGTGAGTGGGTGAGTGAGTGTGTTGTTGTGACCTGCAGTGTGGTGAGTGGGTGAGTTGTTGTGACCTGCAGTGTGGTGAGTGGGTGTGTTGTTGTGACCTGCAGTGTGGTGAGTGGGTGAGTGAGTTGTTGTGACCTGCAGTGTGGTGAGTGTGTTGTTGTGACCTGCAGTGTGGTGAGTGGGTGAGTGTGTTGTTGTGACCTGCAGTGTGGTGAGTGGGTGAGTTGTTGTGACCTGCAGTGTGGTGAGTGAGTGTGTTGTTGTGACCTGCAGTGTGGTGAGTGGGTGGGTGTGTTGTTGTGACCTGCAGTGTGGTGAGTGAGTGTGTTGTTGTGACCTGCAGTGTGGTGAGTGGGTGAGTGTGTTGTTGTGACCTGCAGTGTGGTGAGTGGGTGAGTTGTTGTGACCTGCAGTGTGGTGAGTGGGTGAGTGTGTTGTTGTGACCTGCAGTGTGGTGAGTGGGTGAGTTGTTGTGACCTGCAGTGTGGTGAGTGGGTGAGTTGTTGTGACCTGCAGTGTGGTGAGTGGGTGTGTTGGTGTGACCTGCAGTGTGGTGGGTGAGTATGTTGTTGTGACCTGCAGTGTGGTGAGTGTGTTATTGTGACCTGCAGTGTGGTGAGTGGGTGAGTGTGTTGTTGTGACCTGCAGTGTGGTGAGTGAGTGTTGTTGTTGTGTCCTGCAGTGTGGTGAGTGAGTGTGTTGTTGTGACCTGCAGTGTGGTGATTGTGTAGTGACCTGCAGTGTGGTGAGTGGGTGAGTGAGTGTGTTGTGACCTGCAGTGTGGTGAGTGAGTGTGTTGTTGTGACCCGCAGTGTGGTGAGTGTGTTGGTGTGACCTGCAGTGTGGTGAGTGAGTGTGTTGTTGTGACCTGCAGTGTGATGAGTGGGTGTGTTGGTGTGACCCGCAGTGTGGGGAGTGAGTGTGTTGGTGTGACCTGCAGTGTGGTGAGTGAGTAAGTGTGTTGGTGTGACCCGCAGTGTGGTGAGTGAGTGAGTGTGTTGTGACCTGCACTATTGTAGCTGAACACAGCGTGGATGACATAAAACACTAAGTCTAGAAGGCCGAGCCCTCAACGTGCGTAGATGAATCAATGAGTGAAATTCACAGAAATCGGTAACCGTGATAGTAGCGTTATAAGAGTGATAAGGTAGCGTCTTGCTACATTGCCATTCTGCAACTTCCAAAGGTTTGTGTCTTCTTACAAAATGAGGCTATTTGCTGGGGACAATCAATAGAATGCTACTTTTAATAAAGTTTCAAACCAGGTAAGAGGATATTGAGCAAAGTGTTGCTCATACAGACCATTCACACATCACTTTCACGTGTTCGGGCTTGCGCACCCACAAAGCCACAGAGTTTAATGTCAAAGCATTGTGCTGCGCATGGCTGTGTTTGCTACGATTCTTGTAGGCTGTGCTATGTTCTTACTTTAGTCATTTTCGGTCACCCATGTTACCCTTGCCAAGAAGGCTATCCTGGTCTCGTCGGGTCTCGCCCGTTGAAACAAGCTTGAACACTACAGCTCCCCATCGAAGCCGCTGCTCCCTGTTTTATTCCGCCCACGCATAGTTGTGTGGGCAGAGTTGGCGCGCGTTCCAGCGCTTTACAGGCAAAGGGGTGATGGGTCACGTCGATTTTTGTTCAAAATGCCAGACCCTCTGGACTGAGGTCCGCTGCGAGATGTTAGTACGGATAGTGGGGTTTTTAAAACGCGCACGTTTTAATGAAATGTTAATTTTTTTGCGTAGTCGCCTATATTTGAAAAACCCGCAAACCAGAACTCGCACAATGTAAAGTAGGGCGTCTTCAAAATGTATGCGGTATTTAGTGTCGGAGTTGTCAACGGGTTAGATGTAAGCGGAGAACATCAAAGGGCCGAGTAGAGATCCATGTGGGACCCCAACAACACACGCGGAAATTTGATACAGAGTTGTCAATCTTGATGTGAGCGTCTGACTAGGAGGATGTATATTCTTAGGTTTTTTCGGTAAAGTCACGTTGGTAAACCAGTCTACACAACAAAGGCTCATTCCGAGCAGCGTGCTTCAGCCGCACCGAACCTCACAATAATAATATCCAGGTGCCTGCCTTGGCTCCTCCCACCCTCAACCAGAATTTCTCTTACTTGAAACAGCAATCGGGCTGTGACGGTTCCACCTGAAGACGGAGGCTTGTGTTGCCTCCGAAACGTCGTGATTTTAATTTAATTTTAATTTTATTAATTTAAATGTTTTACCTACGTGACTTTACCGAAAAAAACCTAAGAGTATGAATCGTTGCAGTCACGAAAGCTTCAAATCTAGAATTAGGAGGATGTAATTCGCAGGAAGCGCAAGGTCATTGATGACAAAGCCAGTCTTCGTCACTCGATGCCGGAGGATTGTGAAACAAACCCCGATCTGTCGTGCCCTACTGAATAACAACTCGGCTGTGTGTCCTCGTGTTAACTTCCTCCTCATTCTCTCTCTCTCAAGTTAAACTGTTGCCCCATTGAATGGAGGTTGCCTGAGTGGGTGTGAGAATTCAAGTTGGAGCGGTAGTAAGTCACTGATATTAACGATCAGAACCATTAAATACGTTTTAGCCTCCGAGCATTGGCCCCGAAGAATCCCGAATAGTTCATGCTACTTTTTTTGGGATTGGGTTGCATGAATGTAAACGTGTCGTACACACACCTCCACCCAACAGCCAATTGGTAAATGTTTATCACGTGAACAAGAAGCTGTCAATATATTACGACTCCAGTACACCGGTGAACTGGAGAGCAACTCCATACCTTACAATTCAGGACCACGTTTCTCCGGTGATGACAATCCAGCATCATCACGCGTTTTGCCAGAAGCGTGAAGATGCCTTTCTATTTTGGATCTTAAATAGGGGAAGCTGAGAAGGACCCAGTGAGGGGGGGGGGGCGGGGGGGTAATATATTCCTATAAATTAAAATAGATTATGTTATAATCACGTTATACATGTTACCGATGAGGTGTTTCACAGTTCATCAACAAAGTGAGATTGTTAGTCAAATTAAAAAGTCGACAGTGTTGCATTAACTGTGTTTGTGCTGTGTGCAGGCACTGCGGTGTGCGTGTTGGTGCGGCTTTGTGTTGAGTGCAGGGCACGTGCTGTTGTGTTTATTTCAGTGTAGTGGGTGGCGCATGCTACATAGTGTGTGAGACTATGTGCCGTGCGTGTGTGTGTGCAGTATGCGTAGTGTGTGTAATCATAAAACATGCTGCATACCATACCACGGGGACTCGCTCCGCTATAGGAATGTGGAATTCCCCGAAGCAGATTAGCACCACCTCAATGTTAATTTCAGCGGGGAATTGTGGGGGCCGTTGGCCCCCGGGGTCCCTCCCGCCTGCATCCCCTATTCCGTTTAAGTTACCCCACCTCCCTATTACTCGCTACGGTTTTGCCGGCATTCGAATGCGACGCCACTACGGTTACAGCCTCGCGCCGCGATCCCACGCTGCGAGCATACGTGCGCACATCATCGTCAATCAAACGCCGTGCTCGCAGTATAGCCCTGTGCGGCACGTTACCAATGCGCATCCGTGTCCGACATGTAACGAACGTATGCACACACACACACGCCGCTCCGTGCACTCCAACTCCACACCAACTACGCAAGTTATGATCGCGCACCTGTATCACACACGGAGTGAACACACGCGACACCCACTCTTGCGCCTCTCTGCGCCGCGCTGGCCGCTCACGTTACAATCGCGCACCTGGGGTACGCCGATTACGCACGCCGCGAGCTTACGCACACACAGTACCACACGCGTTCCCACACGCAACCCGCGCGCTCAGCTCCGCGCAGCGCTCACTCACGTGGCGAACCACTGTGCACACAGCGCACCCACACGCTCACACTGCACGACAAGATCACGCGAGACCACGCTTCGCTATTAATGATTTATTATATGCCACCTGCGAATTGATGTTGAATCAGTGAGTCGACGAGGCTGGCCTATTCCACTAAACCTGTACCTATTCCCTATTTATCGGCTATGATTCTAATTCCCCTTCTTACTCACTGTTAAGTGTCCACGGCGGTCCGCTGATCCTTCTGTTAACCGCGTGCCTCGGTGCGTCGCACGGACGTCCGGGTCGCTGGCTCGAGCTGCGTCTGGTCGCCTGGCGCTGGAGTAAGAGAGCGATTTCCCCTCTGCGCTCCTCTATTTATCCTCCCTACCTCCCAAAGGGGATGCTGCGCTGAACAATGGGCTCGTGCACCCCAAGCCCGCGCACGGCAGTCCCCAGGCGCTGTTGATATGCTAATCAGTGTGCTGCGTGCAAGGCGTAAATCCTAATTACTCCCTTACCCTTCCTACCAATGGGGCTTGCGCGCTCAAGCGCAATTATCCCAACCCTCCATGACTATGCGCAACAGCCCCTGTGACCCCGCTATTCATGCTGTCCCGTGCCTCCCCTGCTTGCCCCGTCGACTCGTGGGGGTGTGTGTGGGGGGAAATGCGCCTCAACCGCGGTGGCCGAATGCCCCACGCCGCGACCACACCATATTAAGGCCGGCAGCAGCGCCGCGGTACCACGTAGCACGGGGGAGGTCATCCAATTCCCTGATCGCCGGAAACCGTGAGAATTAATCCCGATAAGGGTCTCTCGGATAAAAACCGGTCGATCAGGTAACCTTCCCTTCCAGCTCTATGGGAGGGGGGGGGGGATGCGTGCGGGTGTGTGCTTATGTGGGGCGGGTGATTGGGGGCAGTGCGGTGGGGGAAGCCGGGCGGCTCCCTGGCTCGGCAGAGCGGCCCCGTCGCTGTGGCACCACATAGCCCCCCGGGGTGCCAGTCCCCGTCCCGGGTTGACTTGAGCACCTCGCCTGGGTTGCCCCCACGAGGTATCGCCGCGGGGTCCGCGGGATTCGC